TGTTCATCTTTAGTGTACCTTTAGTTGCCATGATCGAATATTGTCCTCATTTTAAAGAACATATCCTGTCACACAAATTAGTTTACAAGATAATATAAGCATGTAAACAAAACTTAAAAGCAATTAAGGCAGGCCTGACATAAATATAAAGGATGAGGAAAATAAGACCAAACAAAGAGGGGTTGAAAACAAAGCCGACTGGTAAAAACAAGAAACACTGACTCACTTTACATCGCACACCTGTAAATAAAACCAATGGCTGTACTTGATGCTTTGTACAGGTGTCTTTTATTTGTCAGGAGACTGTTCTAGAGATGGACCAATTGCTCAACAGGCAACCAGAACTGGACAACGTTCAGCTTGACCAGTCCCAATTTCATCCACACATACAGAGTGTGTTTGCACACTGAGAGCTGAGAGCTTGAATTCATCATGTAGTGTTTTTCGTGCTAAAAAGAAACCCTCAAAATAATTAATGTTATGAGTATTTTATTACTGAGTATTTTAACATATATTTAGATATTTTAGCATATTGTTTAGTGTTTGTTTAGCATATATCTTAGATCCTTATATACTGTTTCTTTTTATAATCTATATTTTTGCTACTTTTGGGTGTAACTGGAACCTTGAGTGCACAATTTTGTTCCACCTCATGCACCACATTTGACACAAATGACATAGAACCTTGAACTTGAAAAATATCTTATTGTTGTCATTTACTGTTTTGTTGTCTGTACTTTGTATGTTCTGTCTGGAACAGGTCCCTCTTGCAAATGAGTCTCCATGGCTCAATGAGGCTAGCCTGTATAAATAAAGGTTGAATGAATGAAAAACTGGATGGATTACATACAATGAAATTGAAGTAGAAAACTTTGTTTAATTATAAAACGTATGGATAATATCTCTTTTCCATACATGACTATGTATTAATGTAAGGGAATCCTCTTTTCGGACAATATCATCAAAAAATACATTCTGAATTGCCACACAAACACATGCACGGTGTTACAAATGCAAGTTGGCAAAAGGTAAAAAAAAAAAAATTTAAAAAAAAAGGGCAAATAAATGTCTTGATTATAAACTGAAATAAGTGCAATTTATTATCATGGACTCCAGTTGTTGTGAGGCAACTTGAGTTGCATTTCTGAAAAGATTATATGTTCCATTAAGGGTGGTGCTAAAAGTTATTACTGTAAGTATAGTGTATTGAGTGGAGGCTGCACAAGGTCAAACTAAACTGGAGAGACTTAACAGGTATCTCAATGAAACAACTATTCATTCTACCCTGCCAGATGGAACTCACTAATACACCCTATTGCCTATTATAATCCTTTGATTTGCTGGCACAAGACTAGTGCATGTGTGAGAGATCATAAAAAGGTTTTTTTTTTAAATTCCCAACAAGCACTATAAACCTTTACCAGGAATATGATACTGTGTCTGGGTTTGTGTGTGTGTGTGTGTGTTTGGCATATAATCGCTTTCAGTATTAATTCCTGATGATTGAAACAAAAAACAGGAAACTCTTGTACCACACTTGTTTCCTCAAGGTCAACTTTAAAATAAAAACTGCGTAGGAGTGTTGGGGTGACCTTCAAAAATCCTGGAGTTGGTGTGTCCCCATAATCTGGGACATCACTACTCAAAGGACATGCTTGCATACACACATGCATTAAAATTTGTAATTGCTCACAAGGCAAATGACAAGCCTGAAGCCTTCTCCTTGTCTTCTAAGACTACCATGTAGATAACTACTAGACCCGTAGTATAAATTTTTCATTGTGTTAATGAGATTATCAGATCTATCAATGAACTGCACATTTCATCCAATCATCCTTGCTGCAAGATTCTACTGCAGGCAATTTATCCAAATGGAACTACTGACATGTAGCACGCTTATAGACACAAGCTGCTGACCTACATGTGACTGGCCACAGCCCAGATTTGCTAGCGCTCACCTCAGGGGATGGGTTCTGTACTGACTGCATATACCCTCTGCATATGCTGATGGACAGGCCACACCAAAGTAGGTCGTGCAGTACCCCCAAGAATGCCTAGTGCTCGGCTGGAGTGGTGCAGGGGTTGGCTACACAAAGCTAAAGGAGAAGCAGTGAGGGCAGGGGTCAAACAGCAGGAGAATGGACTGGCATGATGGCAAAAACAGTACAAGTCCGACAGCTTATCCAGTTATCATCAACCAAAGAGTCTAGAAGTTCTGTCAGGACAGCACAATTCTCGTCAAGTGGAAGTTAAGTTTCTCCATGAACTAAAAATATGGGCAGCATAACAGATTAGTGGTTAGCAATTTTGCCTCACAGCAAAAAAAAAAAAAAAAGGTCCTGGGTCCCAGTCCCAGGTTGGGCCAGTGGTCTTTATGTGGACTTTGCATGTTCTCCTTGTGTTTGCATGGGTGTTTGCCAGGTATTCCAGTTTCCTCCCAGTCCAAAAACATGCATGATTAGGATGCCTTCAGACCCAGGCCTCACTTACAAAAGATGTGTGAGCTCAGTGGAATTTGACTGGTTAAATAAAGGTTAATAATAAAAATAAACAACACATTATGAAAATATTAAAATCAAAATGGTTAAAATTATGAATCAAATTCATATTTAAGCTTCAGCCAGAACATATCAGACAAGAGGTGCAAAGTGTGCACAAGTTCAAGCATGTCTGAAAAGGGTTATTTTTATAGACAGATTTTAGTTCATTTAAAAAAATATTTTAAACTACATGCAATGTCAAATTTTAAGCGTACTTTTTTTTACATCGTATAACATGTATACATGCTAAAATTATACCAAGTTAATGTTTCCCTTAAGTACACATTTAAAACAGGGAAATATACCTTTAGTAAAAGAAAAGCCTCTATTTTTTTACAATTTAAATCAAATTTATATGCATTTATAGGAGTTGAAAAAAGTGTACTATATATAAAACTAATGGTGATAAAAACCTACAGTTTTGAAACATTGGGCAAAGAAAGAGAATGAGAAGTCCTGTATGAGAAATCTGCATAAAATCCATGGGAAAAGTGTTGCAGAACTGTGTCAAAAGTAACATTGTCAAACTGGACAAACTAAAAAACAAACAAACAAAAAATGCTATTGGTAATCATTTTAGTGATTGATCTATGGAAAGCTTTTACATCAGTGACACATATATAGTAACAAAATGGGTTTGACATTTTCATAATTCACAAGCAGTAATCATGTTTGGGCTTTCAGGAAGATATAAAATTGCTTTGCTGTAAAGAAAAGATGCTTGGTAAATTTTTAACAAGACAACATGAGACCTACACTCCAAAAATGAAAAAGAGCACAATTTTAATATCTGTCATCTCATACCTCAAAACAAGCAACTTCCACTAAAAATAAAACGTTGATTACCTTCTCTTAAAATTATATTCTTCTCATGGCTGTGACGCTCCGGACTCCTTGTGGAAAGGAAATGCCCTTCTGTTACTCAGAATAATCTCTCCTATACTCCTGTGACTGCCACCTCATGCTTACATGTGCTTCATTGAAGCCTATTCGTATTCAACTGCTGTGAAGTCAAGGAGAAAGTCTTTGTGTGTATAATATAGGAGTTGGCTCTATACTCCTGTGCCAGTGGGAATAACGTACTGTGCTATAGGCAGTGTGACCTTTACTAGCCTAGCCGGTGTGCTTTCTCGCTTCCCCACTGTCTCTCTCTCCCTCTCTCTCTTACACACTTCCTCTCCAACTAAAAAAACACAAACACCTAGCAGCATTGTCACAAGTACCTTTACCAACCATCAATTACCCACACTGCTACCTAGTTTATTGGACATGAGGATTGCACAAATCATGTGAGATAGAGGCATGATGGGACAACAGGGTCCCATTGTTTTGCTTCTCTTTGGTAAGGAGGTAAATAATGTATTTTTCCTGTTTCCCTTTTTTCATGACCTTTATGGTTGTGTGCTTCCTGGAGCGACAGTTTTTATGTTCAAACTGAGGGTTAAAGCTTTCCTGGTTAGAGTGCCCTAACAATGGTCAAAGACGTGTTGGAAAAGGACATGGAGCTGTAGATCTTAGTCCATTCCACTGTATATTTCAAGACATTGTTGAAATCTTATTTACCTAAACAGGCTAACTCTTAAACACAAATCCAATACGGAATCAGTAATGTTTTAAAAGTAACCTAGTTAAATCATCAGAAACTTGTATTTCCACTGTCATGACACACGAGAGAGGGAGGGGAAAAAGCACACCAAAAAGTGAAACAGTTTGTGAACCAAAATGGAACAAATGTAAGCTTGCATATCCTACTGTATGTATACAAGGACAATCAGCAAGAGAGGTAGGGTGAGTAGAGTGACAGTGACGGACAAAGAGTGAGCATAGGAGGAAGACAGTGAAGAGGGAGGGGGTGGAGTGGGTGGGGGAAGTTAATGCATATAACCCACTGCATCAAACCAAAGCACTGCTCTGAGCAGAATGCGTCAGCAGTCCATTCATGTTCCTGTATTTTCCACGAAAGGACAATGCAAAAAGAGGTGAAGTAAAAGAAAAAAATCTAAAGCGACAAAAAGCAGAAAAAAAAAAAAAGAAGACAATTTAGGCAAGACAAAAAGCCAGAGAGAAAGAGTCCTCATTTGTTTGCCTTTGCCACCATAACAGTGCTGGAAAGCTTTGCCACACTCGTTGAAATAGTTTGCTTATTTGTGGGCATGAGGGGGTTAAAATCTGGTTGCTGTGGGAATGCCACAGTCCATCTCTGCCTTTTGCTTGGGCAGCCTGTCTATTCCCTTAAGCCAAAAAAGCCCCAGAAACCCACAGAACAAGAGACTGGAAAAAAGGAAGAGGAGGATAGCAGGAGCAAACTGGTTCTTGAAGAGGTAGATCTCTAAAAAGGTTGAGTGCTTTGAGCTCACACAACTACCTCAGGACACTGCAGAAAGCAGGAGGGAGAGAAAGAAAGATAGAGAGGTATGGAGAGAGAGAGCAAGTGAGCATGAGAGAGAGCGCACTCTCTCTTTTGCTGCTACAACGGATCCTTTCCACATCGACGCTGCTGTTAACGTCACGCCTGTAAGCCGCGCTTGCCCAGCGCTTGCCTCCTCTGCTCTGCTTCTTTCCCCAGTTAGACGCCGCATTAACAAGGGGGTGCTGATCACTACAACAAGGGGAAGGAAAAAAGAACTGGAAATAAGAAGAAACAAGCTGGAGAGGAAGGAAAAACTGTGCATCATTCCTTCTCCCTCTAACCCACCTCGCTCAACGCAGCTACAATACCCCCACTTCTCCAGGCACCCCCTTCCATCCCCCACCCAACTCTCCTCCTGAAGAAATTGACGGATTATTGGGAAGTGCACGGGAGGCAGGCAGCAGCTGCTTCTGCGTGTGCTCGCTACTGCTGCTGTGTTTTACAAGGATGGTGTGTGTTCGTTTGCAATTGCTGCTGTCGCAACCGTGGCTGTCGAGGTTGGAGCGTGTGGCTGGTTAAAAGGACTAATAAGCTAATGAAGGCAGCGTGTGTCGTCAAGCTTTTTCAAACCCTGCCAACCGCATCTGAGGGAAAAAGTATTACAAAAATCAAGAGGAGACAACCGCGCTATTAAGAAAAGAAGAAAGGAGAAGAGTACAAAAGAAGAAAAAAAGGGCTGTCAAGACTGTCGAACCGACCAACTGATTGAGCCCTAAAAAGTGGACAGAGGAATACAGAGAAGGGGGAATGTTCATTTTGAATATTTTCTCACACCTCGATAACATACCCTCTTAACCACTGCAAACAAAAAGGAAAAAAAAAACTGTGGAATGGACTGTGGAATTTCCATTTAACCTTCTCCGATCAACAGCTACTCTTTTTTTTTTTTTTTGCTTTTGGTTTTAGTGCACAAAAAAATTGTGCATGTGTGTTTCTGTGGTCGCTTGTACTATGGAGACTTGGGTAAGGTGTCTAAGAGGGGGATCAACTGTCGGATTCCAAGGACAAGCAAGAGAAGAGGAGCCAACAGCAAGAAGCAAGCAAGGGAGCACCACTGCTTTGGGAGCCTGACTGGATTCCTTTCTGCTGTTTCTTTTTACATTTTTCTCTTCTTTGTATCAGCACTGACGGGAAGAAAGAAAGAAACAAAAAAAAAAAACCACTCACAAAAGGCCTTCGAATCTTACTCTATGGATGTATGGATTTACAAAAAGGGCTCAACTTGATTAAGCTCTTTGGCATCGATACCCATTTTAACAGAGTCAGTAAAAAAAAAAAAAGTTCTCTCTGCTGCTCTTGGATATAATTGCATCCGATGTGACAGCCACAGCTCTGTCTGATTGCAAAAGGAGGGAAGCTATATCTCTCAGTTCAAGGACCTGTAATAATAACTTGAGGTAGGTGTCTAGTGTTTCAACCCCTGTTTGCATTAATTTCTAACATCAACTCTTCCCTCAGTGTTTCAATACCCATTTGATTTGCTTAATTTCCCATCATGACTTTTTCATACATGAATCAAAAAACCAGTCCTGCCCACCCTTTGTCTTTTTACCCCTGACAGTTCATGGAACTACAAGCATTACTTGAGTACAAATCAAGTTTTGTCATTTTTTCCACCCTATTTAGTTTCCTTAATACACTGATCCCCTTATCAGCATTATCAGACATCCAGAAACTATTCTTGTCCCCAAATCCACCAAACATCTGCCCCAAACATTCCCAACCTCCCCCCCAGATGATGCTGAATTATGAATGTGCCACATCATGAGTCTCCTGGGGCGGGTAGCTGTGCATCGTGCCAGGAAAGCCGCCCTGCTCTGTGTAGTCTTCCTGATGGCGCGAGCGTGGAGCAGTGCCTCCCTGGCCTTGGCGGGGGCGGCAGTCTCTTTAGGACCTCAGGGCTGTCCACCCCAGTGTTCCTGTAGTAATCAGCAGGGGAAAGTGGTGTGTACCCGACGGGGCCTAACACGAGTGCCCCCTGGAATTCCTGCAAACACGCGACACCTCAATCTAATGGAAAACGCCATTGAGGCGGTGCAGGCTGACTCATTCCGCCATCTGCACCACCTTGAGGTGCTTCAGCTTGGGCGAAATGCCATAAGGCAGATTGAGGTGGGCGCGTTCAATGGACTGACAAGCCTCAACACATTGGAGCTGTTTGACAACCGGTTGACAGTTGTGCCTAGTGGAGCTTTTGAGTACTTGTCTAAACTAAGAGAACTCTGGCTGAGGAACAACCCCATTGAGAGTATTCCATCTTATGCCTTCAATCGGGTGCCATCACTCATGCGACTGGACTTGGGAGAATTAAGGAAACTAGAGTACATCTCAGAAGGAGCTTTTGAGGGCCTGCAAAACCTCAAGTACCTAAACCTGGGAATGTGTAACATAAAAGGTGATATGCCAAACCTGAGTCCCCTTAAGGGCCTGGAAGAGCTCGAGATTTCAGAAAACCTGTTCACAGTGATAAAACCAGGCTCCTTTACAGGTCTACATTCCCTTAAAAAACTATGGGTGATGAACTCACAAATCACCGTGATAGAGCGCAATGCTTTTGATGGTTTATCTTCACTGGTGGAGCTTAATCTTGCCCATAATAATCTGAGCGCTGTGCCACATGATCTGTTCTCCCCGCTCAGGTACCTAGTGGAACTTCACCTTCACCACAATCCTTGGAACTGTGGCTGTGAGGCTGTTTGGTTAGCACGCTGGCTAAGAGAGTACATCCCTACAAACTCAACTTGCTGTGGACGCTGTCACTCACCTGTCACGATGAGAGGTCGACAGCTAGTTGAAGTGGACCGTGGTGAAGGAGCTGCAGTACAGTGCTCTGCGCCATTCATTGCTGATGCACCACGGGACTTAAACATCTCAGCAGGGAGAGTGGCTGAGCTACGTTGCCGCACAGCTCCAATGTCTTCAGTTCGCTGGCTCCTACCCAGTGGAATTATCTTGACACATGCCTCTAGCCATGCAAGAATATCAATCCTCAATGATGGTACACTTAACTTCTCAAATGTTCTGGCATCAGACACAGGCACTTACATCTGCATGGTGTCCAATGCAGCTGGAAACTCTAATGCCTCAGCGTACCTCAATGTAAGTGCAGCTGAACTAAACACATCTAATTTGAGTTACTTTACTACAGTGACTGTAGAAGTCTTTGGTCCAACCACTGAGATGCCCAAGCCTAAGACAACTACAACCACAGCTGCTGCAGGTGCTGGAGTTGCTGGAGGAGGGGGAGTAAGCTTAGGGACAACAACTACAACTGCCTCTCCTTCTGTCTTTCAACCCGTGTTCATCTCAACACCAACAGTGCTGCTGCAAAATACTGACAGTCCAGCCAATGCGGCTAAGCCATCTGTGTCACCAGGACTTCAAGGTGCCAAAGGCAAACCAGGCAAGTCTGGCCCAAGCTTGGATGAAGTGATGAAGACTACTAAAATTATAATTGGTTGCTTTGTGGCTGTAACACTGCTTGCTGCAGTCATGCTAATTGCCTTTTACAAACTGAGAAAGCGCCACCAGCAGAAGAGCACAGTGGCAGCTGCTCGCACCGTTGAGATTATTCAGGTGGATGAGGAGGACCTTCCACCACCAGCATCTGCAGCCCAAGAGTCATCTCTAACATTGCCTGAAATACGGGACCATAACAGCATACATAAACTTGACTTCATCAGCCACAAGACTGACTACAGTTTTCACAAACCCAAGGCTGAATATAAGCCCCAGCCTGATTTTACACTACACAAGCCGAAGGCTGAATATACCACATACAAGCCAAATATGGACTTCAGTAGCCACAAATCTATTACAGATTACAATACACACAAATCAACACCAGATTTCAGCCATCACAGACCAAAGCCAGACTGCAGTCCATTTAGACAGGACTACAGCACTTACAAAACTAAATCAGAATACAGCCCATTTAAATCAGACTTTGGAACTCATCCAAAGGTTAGAACAGATTACAGTCCATTCAAATCAGACTACAGCACTCATCCTAGACAGAGAACTGACTTCAGCCCATTTAAGCGAGACTACAGCACTCAACCGAAACCTAAACATGACTACAGTCCATTAAAATCAGACTACAACACACAACATAAACCTAAAGCGGAATACAGTCCGTTCAAATCTGACTTTGGAACTCACCCAAGAACTAAACCTGATTACAGCCCATTTAAACCTGACTACAGCACTCAACCTAAACCCAAAGTAGACTACAGTACCCAGAGACCGAAAACAGAGATTACCTACAAAACAAAGGACTATTATACCCCTCATAAGACTGCACCTGATTACAGTGGCTTCCAAACAGAATTCAGCCCCCACAAAATGGATTACAGCGCCTTTAAGTCTGATTTTAGTCCACACGCTCAAAGACCTAAAGTTGATTACAGTCCACATAAAGTGGACTACAGCCCTCATAAGGTGGACTACAGCACTCTAAAGCCCAAATACAACACCTATAAACCAAGTGGGCAGGGAGCTAAATGGACAGAAAACAATGTTGGAAACTCTTTGCCTCGAACCCTGCCCAGCACCATTACAGCAATGGCTGAGCCCTATGTCATAAAAACACATACCAAGGAGAAGGTACAGGAGACCCAAATTTAAAAAAGTCCACCTGTTCTGAGGCTCTCGCTATTTTCCTTATGTCTTTAGGTTCCACCAAATTGTTCCACATCACCCTTTTTTCTTTTGAATATAAAAACCATGCAATAGAATGCACAAAAACAAACAAAAAAAAAGAACAAGAACTACTTTTTTGTACAGAGTGCAAACTTTAAAGGACTGATGGTTCAATGTTGTACATGCTTATAAATAAAAATATATACGGACAAAATAAAACTACCATGGGTTGGTGATAGAGAAACATATATTAAAAAGAAATTGAAACTATTTTCTAACTTGTAACTTCTATTTAAAATAATGAGATGTTTGAGATGCTGTCTTGACTTTGACAAATGAGGGTAGTTGTTTTAAAATGGGGCATTCTGTGTGATTTTTACACCATGCTACAAAGAAAGCGGCGGCAAGAAAGAATATTTATACAGAGAAGACTTTCTTTAACAAAAACCGAAAAAAGGTCAGTGTCGATCTTTACAGGTTTATCTTGTAAAAGCACCAAGAATTTGTACTGTGCCAAATGTTATAAATGCAATAAAAAGGATTTTTGGAAGAAAAACGAAAACATTAGAGAAATGTTTTATTCCTATTCTTTTCTTCTCCAGGAGTATACTGTAACAATCAGTTGAATGCTTTAGACACTGCAGCAACACACTGCAGCTATACTTTAACCCTAAGTGTGCTGAATGACTCTTGCATAATGAATCACAGTGCAGAAGTGGATTGAGCTTTTTTACAAGTACCTCTACAGCTTGTACTAAACGTATTGAATGCAAGGTTTTTCTTTCATTTTATTTTACTTAATTTACATTCCCAATATTTGCTATTGCATTTCATTCATTTGAGGCCGTTGAGACAAAAAAAGGGCAATAACGTTACATGAATGTATTGACAAAAATCAAACAACATGAGCTTTTATAATATTGTAATGGTAAAGTAGAAGCTCAGTGTAAAGTATGCAAGCCCACTGTGTTACTTCACACATTTTCTAGAAAAGTAGCACATACGGTTTCTAATGAAGGAAAAAAGGTGAAAAGGTGTTTGTTTATACTGCCATGGCAACACAACATTTCATTGTAATTGTCATGACATCCAAGCTGTTGGGCATTCATCAGTCAAAATAGTTCTGTGATGAAAAATGTATTTAGGTATTGTTGTTAATGATGCTGTCTTTTTATTCAACAATTTTTTTTTTTTTTTTCCATCAAAATATGCTGCAAACAAAATCTAAAAGTTAGGAAACAATATGAAATTAGCCAGTTTAATGGGGAAGTGAGTGTAAAACCTAGACAACTGTTATGTCTAATATTTATAAAACTAATTAAACAAGAAAGATCAGACAGACAAAACGTTTTGCAGACATGGAAACTTTCATCCAAGAGGTTCCATGTTGGCATACGTCTTAACATATCTACTGCATAAAAAATAATTTGACAAAATAAAGTTGTGCATTAAAATATATTAATTTTATTTAAAGAAATGTAACAGTGTTTTATCAATATAAAAGTTGTGCTCATGACTGTATCAGTGTTTGAAAAACTAAAATCTGATTAACAATCCTTTTAACAATCAACTTCTATGTGGGGTAAAAATCACTTACTGCAGTGTACAGGTACTCATGATCCAAATCCCCTATAGCCTATGTTGTTCTAGTCTTTCAGACAGTCTACAATTGAACTTATATTTTAGACTTTGGAAAGAGAGCCTTCTTAGGTGTGACAACGATTGATAAAATGAGGAAAAAATCATCAGCAGTACAGCACAGGTAGAACAACTGGGAGATAAAGTTAGAGAGGCCAAACTGAGATGATTTGGACATGTCCAGAGGAGGGACAGTGGGTATATTGGTAGAAAGATGTTAGAAATGCAGCTGCCATAAAAAAGAAAAAGAGGAAGGCCAAAGAGGATATGGATGCAGTTAAACAAGACATGGAGGTAGTTGGAGTGAGGACAGAGAGAGATGGTGGAGGATGACTTGCTGTGGCAACCCCTGAAGAGGGAAAAGCCGAAAGAAGAAGAAGAAAAAAGGCAGAGTCTGCAGTTGCAAGAATTGGGTTGTTCATGATGATCAGCATGTGGTCAGTCTGAAATTTGTCCATGCGTTTCTTCTGCCAGCCATGTCTTTTGGGTTACAAAAAACAAGAATGGCTAAAATAAGGAGAGCTTTACTGTGAGAGACATAAAATGTGGGAAATGACCTAAATGAAGCAAATAAATAAAGAATATAAATTGGAAGTTAAAGCTTAACCATTTTATGCTGAATATTTTTATTGCCATTAGGCTGCTGTTTTGATCTCCTGCTCTTGTGGTTTACTTAGGTGCACATAGCTATGTTTTCAAAATAAGTGTTTCCATTTGTATCTAATGTAAAATGTGAGGACACTTTTCAGGAAAGCAAAAAACGTTTTGTTTTTTTTTTGTTTGTTTTTTTCCCCATACATGAATTTTGGCTAAATGTGTCTATAAATATAAAAATACAAAGCATTAAATTATGCGACATGTTTTCAAAAAAATATTTTGGCATAGTTTTGCATTTTATATGCTCAGATAAGTTATAACAGCATTTGTCTATTGCCGCAGAATAATATTGGGTAATGAAGTATACTGAGCTAGCTGATAATATATTTAAGCTGCAATGTGCTATAAAAGGCTCCGTCATCCTAATCGGTCAAAATGGCTACAGGGTCATCAATCAGCCAATCAGTTAGCCAGGCAGTGGAGGGCTTGTCTCCATGGGAAACACTTTTCTCTGGTCCTTCCTCCCCCACATCATGTTTCCCGTCTGTGTGCTTCATTAGCAATCATGAAGTCATTGGAAAGAGGAAGCACAGCAAGACACATATTCAGGCACTGCTCAAAAAGCTGCAGGAGGCGGAGGAGTGATGTGAAGTTGAGGCCAAAGATAAGGTTTAAGAGATACAAAGAGGAAGATTGATTAATATCAAGTTATTACACCGAAAGAGCTGGCCGCAATCAAAAACAAAGGGGGTAACACCGAGAGAGAGAGGAGCAGATGACGTGATGGTAATGACAAAATCGAGATGAGCGTGAAGAAATGTGACATAGCTTGAGAATGTGACTAACAATAGTTGTTTCTGGAGAAAAAATGTGTGAGAGATGCCAGTTATAGAATAGACAAAAACAAACCTAAAGAAGAATGATGTGAATAATGTTTCATTTTCTAAGTTTAGCTCAAATAAAAACTGGGTAATGCTACCAAAAGAAGGGAAAGCAGTGTAGAGAGTGACGGGGAGGAAAAGCACTTGGGAAAGGACTAACAGAAAATGTGATGCAAGAGTGCCAGCTACAGATGGAATGGGGAATATATTGCTTGGCCACTGAGGCTGTTGCATGATTGGTGAATGGGTGGACTGCACCACACGTAGTGTGGTGGGGGTGGGGAAGAAAGGGGCATACAGAGCAGAGTGCAGCAGATAAGTGCTGATACAGAAAATGGACTGGACCACTGGGGGTACTTGAGTAAGGCAAGCTAGAGAATAAAACAGCAAAGAGAGTGTGAGGATCAAGAGGTTAGAGCAAATGGAACGGTAGGGACAATGCAGTGTAACAATCTGTACATGTAATGCTTTCAGAAACAAGTCAAAGCCCATAATCCAGCACCAAGAACAAACATTACACTTGCTCGTCCACTCAATTTAAGCCAATAGCTAATTGTCAACTTAGTTGGGACATTTCAAAACTAATCTGCTTTGATGCCATCTCTTAATTAGATGGTTTTTCTCAAGCTAATTACTATTGCACTGCAGTCTATAAGAGAGCTATAGCCAAATATGATCTCATTAAATTACCTAGAGTACAAGGCATTATTTTCAATTGCATTAGCAATTTGTCAACCAAATTCTCAGTAATGTAACAACCTATTACAACTTTCATAATGATTGCTACATGTAGAAAAGAGGCTACATATTATGTGGTACCATCAGTAACGTTTGTTGTGTGTGTGTGTGTGTGTGTGTGTGTGTGTTTTTCCCCCTTTTTTTCCCCCAATTTGTGACATTTCAATTGTTTTAACTTTTGGGGTGGATAGACTCACTAAAAACTTATGTAAATCAAACAACACATTTATCTGCAAATACTCTCTTATTTCCTTCTGGTCTTACTGTGTTTGGTACTTTGAGCTGGCCTCAGTAACAAAGGGGTCTGTAGACATCTGATATATTTGTGAAGTGAGTGAATGCAGGACTATAAAACATTAAATCATCTAGGTAGCATTTTTGGCTATGCCATTACTGTGAAAGAAGGGCTGTCTGAACGTTGTATAAAAGACGGTCAGCAACAGCTCCCGTATCATATACCTTTAACAGATTGATGACAATCATATAGGGGCAATAATGTGCAAGAACGAAAGCTTGAGCATTTCTGGATTTTCTTGAGTGACAAAATATTTTTGCTGAACTAAAATAAAGTGCCACTGAGCAATTCCTTAAATGCTCTGAGCATGGCACCTGCAGTTGTTCTTACGTGCATTCTCACTGTTAAGGTTCTGCACAAGTTGCTCACTACTAGTAGTGATCAATTCACAAAATATGCTAAAAATTTCAAATTTAATCCTTTTGTAAAAACTAGCAAAGAAAAAAAGTCATACTTGAGTTACCTGATCATGGGAACTACCCAGACGTTGTAGACCTAGTGAAGAATGAATGATGCACAGGGAAGGTATACTCTGTGTGTGTATACTTGGCAAACTGGGGGAAAAGAAGGGTCTATTCTGAGCAGGTGTATGCCTGTTGCTTTTTGATTCAATAGGAGCTGTGTCCAAAAAGTTGTTATTATTATTAGTATTAGTATTACTTAGGCCTGTCGCGATAAACAATAAATTAATTAATAGCATGATAAATGAAAATTATCAACCTCATTTTCATTTATCGGCTTTATCGTTTCTTCGTGTCTCTTTTTCTACTGAAGACACCGGATGATGAAAAACTCAACTCTGGTGCTCTTCACTGACCCCTCCCTTTCTCTTTTCTCTTTGAAATCCATTTTAGCTATCCAAAATGGCGTTTCTGGATCGTTAAAAGCAGCTAAGCTAAGAAGCTATGCTAGAAGCTAAGCTAACAGGCTGATCTGTGGGGAAAATAAAACATCTCGTCTAAGCTACAAAATTTACCTGTGCCTTCGTCTAAAAAGTTGATTTTCTCTGCAAAAAGAAGCTGAGAACTTGTTTACAGATTTTTTATTAAAAGCTTTGTGTGAAAAATGCTATGCTAAAGATCTTGAACCACAATGAGCGTCCGCCATTTTGAGAATTGAAGAGAAATAGCCCATGTCACGTCAAGGGGCCTGCCTCCCATTTTTCTTAAAGAGACAATGCTGCTCTTCCCTCACCATCCATCCTTCGGTTCAAACAGTCTTAAATTGCCATCCGGTGGTCAAAAAAAGTAGTGCATGCAAAACAAATTAAAAATTTCTTCTTAAATTTGACAATAATGACTAATTATTGTCAAATTTCAAACAATATTATCGTTTATCACAATTTCTTAGACAATCGCCCAGCAAAATTTGGTATCGTAACAGGCCTAGTATTAGTATTAATAGAGGGCCTGT